ACAACCCATAGTATACATTGGGGTTAGGTATTGGTGTGTTTTACAAGGTGGGGGAGCGGCTGTGGGTGGTAAAATTAATATCACAAAGTGGTATCACATATCACATGTTTTGATTTCTTACTCCAAAGTGCCTATTTTAAAGGATTAAACTATAGTGGGGGATGAGTTACTAAGTTAATGAACTAAAAGACTTTTATTTGCACAAAGCTGATTCAACAGTCTGAAAATCAGGCCAAAGGTATACATGGGTATACATAGGATAAGGATGGGGGTAGAGAACCTGGGAAGAAGTAGTGAATAAAAAAGAAAAGAAAGATAAAAGGAATCTATGAATTTTATCATGCCATATTACATATCCCAAGGTATAATGGCAACCTGAAATTCATCTGCTCTGAATAAAATTAATTTTAAAAATTAACAAAATAAAATTCTTAAATGAGGCAAATCACAGCATCAGCACAGAGAGATGGATCCCAAAGGGAATATTATTTCAAACATGCTACTCTGATTTAGGGAAAGCAGAAAAATTAGGTTTTGTGTTTGAGAGAGGATTTATTTATTTTTTGCTTTCTTTAAACACCACACCATTCTTCTGAGGAACCTAGGAACGATAGGACACCTGTGGAGATTACAAAGAATGCCAGTCTCTGTTTTCATCCCCTTTGGAAATGTTTTGCTCAACAGTTAGCCTTCAAGGCCAACTGTTCAAGCATTGAAGGCATTAAAAATAAAACAACTTAAGTGGCCTGAGAAACCTACTTAAATAAAGCAAAACAAAAAATTATCACTTCTGTCAAGGACAAATTTAAGCAAAATACTCATCAACTTGAGTATCTTAGTCAGGGGCAGGATTCAAATTTTCTGTGGGTGTGGCTTTAGGTGGTGGGTGTGGCTTGGTGGTCATGTGACTGGGTGGGCGTGGCTTGATGGTCATCTTATTGGCTGGGTATGGCCAAGTCACTATCACTCACATCGAGGCACACATCTCCTCGCCTGGCCTCTCATGACTGTGGGGATGCTGCAACAGTCGTAAGCGTGAAAAATGGTCATAAGTCAATTTTTTCAGTGCCATTGTAATTTTGAATGGTTACTCAAACACAAGCAAAGTACCAGCAAAGCAGGGGGGGAAAATTCGAGAGACATTCCTGAGACAGGAAGTCTAGTCCTGCCAAGAATATAATAAGGGTTAACGGAGAGGCAGTTTCTGTAAGCAACACCAGAATGTTTCCTTCCTGCCTTCCTTGCAGGATTAGGCCAGTAATTTCTTCTAACAACCGGTTCTCCAAACTGCTTAGAATGTTAACAACCAGTTCTAGCGAATAGGTGCGAACTGGTAGAATCCCACCCCTGATCTTAGTTCAATCATACTCACGAACTGAACAGAAGGAAAGCGCAGAAGATGGGAGTTTTGCTAACTCCTTTGTGGCTCTTCCACAGAATGAGTTGTGCTCATACATTGGTAAACTGAATGGATGTCTGCTCTACAGTTACATTGCTGTTTACATTGACTGATGACAGATTAGAAATTGGGACACTTCACTTTTGCCTTAGCCACAAGCTAAGCAAGTGGACTTTGGAAGCTGCTTTGATGTGGAGGGGGAACTGCTTACATCTGCCTGCAAACAGGGAGGTGGGACATTGATTCAAGACAGAATGATCTTATCAATGCCATAGAGTATAAAGTGAAGGCCAATAATTTGACTGACCAGCAGACCCCTCGGCCAATGAAAATTAATCCAGATGAAAACTACATTCATGGGGAGAGAATCCCTTTCCACAGTAACTTCAGTCCTGAGCAAGACAGTGCAAATGAAACTGAGGACCCACTGGGTCTTCAACTCCAAAGCTCTATCCAACGCCAAGGGCTTCCATCAAAGCTTCTTTGTAGACATTCATAAAACATGCATGAAAATACAGTAATAGAGGAACCTATTAGATGGTACGCATTAAATTATATCCATTAGATGATACCCACTAGAGAAGTTTAACCACCTTAAAACTGAGAATGAATTTCTTGACATATCCAACTATCCATTTTTCAGCAGAGCAACAAATCAGCCGCATTGTTTCTGCTCCCAAATTGTACAAAACAGTTCCCTGGATCCAAACCAAGCATCTTCTTTCAAAGGAAAAGCAGAAGAAAGGGCAGTGCTGGCTGAGCAAGAGTGGAATGACCCCCCCTTGGAAAAATAAAAAATGTGTTTCTGGTACTGCAGTGATTAGAATGCAGCATTGGCAGGCTTATTCTGTTGAGTGCCAATTTCCAGCAGTTTGGCAGTTTGAGTCTCACCAGTTCAAGGTTGACTCAGCCTTCTATCCTTTTGACTCTGAGGTCAGTTAAAATGAGGACTCAGGTTGTTGGGGGCAATATGCTGACTCTGTAAACTGCTTAGAGAGGGTGGTACGAGCACTGTGAAGCAGTATATAAGACTAAGTGCTATTGCTATTATTTTGGGCTGAAATATAATCATTTCTAATGCTACCTGTTTCCAATTCTTTGAAGTTTTAGTAGCTCTTGCTATATGGAAGAGTGAAAAGGAAGATATTTAAGGTTCAGCAGAGAGCAAGAACCAAAGAAATTAGGTAGGTGATACTGGAAGATTAGCCATTTATGAGATTATCCAGTCAAAAGTTTGGAGACAAACATTATTGCTGTGTTCACACAACACAGGAAACCAAAACAAAGTTTATTACAATGTAGTATGATTTACACTGAGTCTTGAATAAAACAGAAATCTGCTTTTCAGAAGACAATTCTGCTGAACTCTTCCAGTGGGCTGTAGAAACTGACTCTGCCTACAACTATCCTTGGTATGAGAAAGGGAGCAAAGTTACACTTTCAAGGTTCAGTTACTACAGCCTACTATGTCAACAGAATTCCAATGTTTCTTGTGAAGTCTGACACACCTTGGCTGACATTAATTTGGAAAAATCATAGTGATCAGTAGCATTGCATCTGCTTTAAAGATGTGTGGATTTGGCTGGGGAATTCTGGGAGTTGAAGTCCACACACTTTAAAGTTGCTGAGGTTGAGAAACACTACTAGACTGTAAACTGAATTTAACTTTTGATCAAGAAACCTAATGTAATTGTTGTTTTGCATACCGTTGCTTTCTGTGTTGATTATGCCCACTAGGTACAAAGCTCTTGAGAGGGAGGGTAAAAGTGTTGTATGTCTTCATGCTCCCAAGATTGCAAAGAAGCAATAATCAAGTGAAAGATATTCTCATTTGGCATTAAAATCCATTTTTAATTGTTCTCCCAATTAGTTAATTTCATTTTCATTATTTGTTCTACTGCCCAGAAGTATGCATCTGATCTCCAATTGTTTTCCTCCGTACAACAGTTTGACTCGCATTTAGTGAGCAAGCACATACAGGTAGTCCTTGACTTATGACCACAATTGGGACTGGAATCTTGATCACTGAATCGTTGAAACAAATATCCTTCTGGGTTCAGTTCCAAGTGGGGAAGAAAGACACTGGAAACATGGTGACTGCTTGGAAAGATGTTTTAATGGTAGACAGGATCACATACCTTGGGTGAAGAAAAAAAAGGCAGAGATGCTGAGATTCCTTTGGTTTTATACCCTCTGTTGCTATTTGAATTTGAGCTTGTATTCTGATTGGTTGTCAGACTCCCATGAGGCCATGCAGGGTCAACTCTGTAAGCTGTCCTGAGTCCCAGGCTTGGTTGAGCCTTGCTGGGTGACAATGTAATGAAAGGGCTTTGGGCAATTCCTATTATGGCTCTACCTGGAGGAGGTAGATCTTTGTTATGTGGAATAGACTGGTCCAGGCCTTAACAGCTCCTTAACAAAGGGCGGGGGGGCTGAGTTTCTGCCTCTCTGAGTTTCTACTTCTCTTTTAGGGGAAATATTCTGCCTTTTTTGTATATCCTAAAATATTTCATTTTTCTAGAAGGGTGGGTTATAACATCCAATAGGACAAAGCAGTCAATAAGTGAGAGGCCCACGATTGCTTTGCTCAACGATGCCAATCCCAAGTTGCGGTTGTTAAGCAATCTCCCATGTCATTAAGTTGGCAGAATGAAAGAACTGCCTGACAGATCCATGTGATAGGGGAAAGTCTCCACTGAGCTGCAGAAACAGAGCTTTGACCTCCAGGGTCTGAGCCCTGTTTCTGCAGCCTGGCAGATTTCTTTCCATGCACGCAAAATGCCTCCACCATGCTGCAGAAACAGAGTTCAGACCTCTGGGATTCCGTTCTCCTTCCCAGGCAACTTTTCCAATCAGTCCCCAGAAACAAAAAGCCGGGAGGTCTCAGCAGCTTGCAACCTTCCCGTCTGGCTTCCCCATTGGCCTTGTTGGGGAAGCTGGCAGAGGAGATTGCAAATAGTGATGTCAGGGCAACTTGACAAATCAACCCTTCCTAAGGACAAACAAACACCCCAAATGTGATCATGTGACTGAAATGGGGCCAGGGGCCAGAAAGTCTTTGTGGGCCTTAAAGCATCCTTTTTCAAGGCTGTCCTAATTCTGAGCAGTCATTAAACCAGTTGTAAATCAAGGATTCTCTGTTATAAGCCTAGATATCTCGAAATCGAACAAAATCAGTACTGCAATCGGCTTCCCCGATCGATTCTTTGGCAATGGAGGAGTCTCAATTGTCTCTCTTATCAGTTGGCTCGCTAGAGAAGTCAACCTCCATAATTCACTAGCTTTTCCAGGGTGTGCGCTTCCCCACTTGCACCATCGGGGCAAAAAGAGGCGGAAATATTTTTTTCAGCCGGCTGCCGGAGGGGGAGGGGAAGGGAACAAATTCAGCCGGCTGAATCGAGTCCGGCCCGGCTGCTGGGCTTTTCCTCTTCAAATCCCTCCTCCTCCTCCTCCTCGCGAGCGCTTTCTGGAATTCCCCGCCTGCAAAACAGGCTTCGGTCCTACAGCAGCCTGCAAAGTAAATAGAGAGGCGGGGCGCCAGTGTGACGTTTGGAAAGCGATAGTTTGTGCATCCTCGAATAAAAGGGGGCCAGACAGCGGCGGAAAACGAAACTTTGCCTAGGACTCTCTCTCTCTCTCTTCAAGGCTGGCTGCGTTTACGGGTCGGAGAAGCAAGAGTTTCGCGGGAAAGCGGTTCTTTCACTGCGCGGCGCTGCTTCTTGGCCCTGTTGCCATTCGTTTTGGGTCTCGGCTGAGGTAAATCATCCGGAGATGCGTCCCTGCAGATAATCCCGCTTGTTTTATACGGTGAGCCCCATGAGCTCCTTTTTCCAGCCGAGGAGAGAGCTCGGCTTCAACAAGGACGGAGTTGCGACGCTCAATCTCTTTCCGGTTGGGATGTGAAGCGTTTATTCGGGCTTATGGCGCCGGGAGGGGAGGGGAGGGGGGGAGAGGCTGACTTTTTGTAACTCGTCGCCGTAGGTCGGGGATCTCGGTCCGTTGGTCGCTATGGGGAAAACGGACAGGCGGCTCTGCCTTGCACCGGAAAACGAGGGGCTGCGGCCGAAAGAGAAACACGGGGACCTTGTGGGATGGAATAACTTCCCAGGTTGGGCTTTGTGGTGGTTCTTTATTTAGTGCCTTGCATTTGCAACCTTCCTGGGTGCGGCGCCGGTGCTCCGAAGGGAAGAAGGGTCTGTGAAGATGGCAAAGGGCTCGATTCGTCTCCATAGTTTCATTTTTGGTGAAACGCTACTTATGCTATCTGCCCTCCCTCTTTTGGGATCTGGCACGGTTATAAGTTTACGCCCTAATGAGTATCAGACAAGGAGTGTAATACAATCGTAGGCGCTTCCTTTTCAAAACCGAAAGTGGTATTTCCACGCAACAACATATCTCATTCCGAAAAGCAAGCGTTTTCTTAGTTGCGACCCTTTGGGGAAAATGAGGGCTTAGGATCCGTGTGCAGGGAATCCTGAAGGGTGGGGTTAAAAAGAGTGTAACCTGGGCTTCTGCAGCCTGCTCTTCCCTTATTGGTGAGACTGGGCGCGGGATGGCTGGAGAAGAAAACGAAAGTAATCGACCCTCATTTACATAGCGGGCGTTGATTGGTCGCTGCCGCGCCGGCAGGGTTGCATCTAGCGCGCAGTACCGAAAGCGTTTTCTTCTTCCGCTACTTTCTTTTTTTGCCGCGGCTGCACAGCTATCCCGTCCTACTAGTATGAGTAATTCACCTCCCGTTTTTGTTTATATTTTCTTGCTTTCGGACAGGCTGTTAAAAAAGACAAAAAACACAACCTCACCCTGGGTCGCCGGTCACGCAAGAAGGGCATTAAATGCCCTAAATGTCACAACACTCAAAATGCATCCCGCCAGTCCTGTGTTAATTGTGGAGAGCACTTGACTCCGCCTTGCAGTCTGCAAAGTAAGTTTGTCGCAGTCTCCGCCGTGAAATCAGTCGATCAGGTGCAACTGTTTCAGTAAGATCTGGAACGGTAATTTAAAAAAAAAAAAACGGTGTGTAGAAAAAAAAAAGACAAATGGAATTTCTTTAGGCTGTCTTAGTTTGCTCCCTTGTCATGGCCTGAATATGGTAGAGCAGTGGTTCTCAACCTTTTCTTCACCAAGGACCTGATTGAAATACCTTTCGTTGCCATGGACTCCCAAGATTTATCTCAAGATTTGAATGGTAACATTTCAATGAGTCTTCTTGGACCCCCTTGTGATGACATCATGCCCTAGCTGTCAGGGGACCACAGGTTGAGAACCACTGTGTTGATAGAGTATCCTACCAAGATTGATTATTGTAAATATACCACTAATTTCACACTGTGCATTTAAAAAAAACTTTTAATATAATAAAATTATGTACGTTGCCTTTCTCCTCTAATCTTCCTCTATTCCTTTTTTTAAAAATCTCATTTCAGAATAAAAGGTTGTTACTTACAGAACTGATTTCCTGTTACCTGGAGTATGTTAACTTAGAGTAGTGTACATGACATAGAATAATAATTTAGTTTATTGAATTATTCTCAGCTTGATATTTAATTCAACAAATCTTTTAAAGTCTCTTATGAAATTAATCTAAAAATCTCCCTTAAAACATGTGCCAGCTATAGTAACAGTCCTGTAATGTTTATAGACTCGTGGACATATTTAGTTATCTGTGTCCCAATTAATATGTTCCCATCCAATTGAGTGAATGCTGCTACCAGAGAAATGGAGAGCATTTCTGATATGCATCCTATTAGATTATGTGCTTTGTTGCTTTTAAATGAGAGAGGATCTGCATGCAGTTCAATTTAAGTACTGAATGGTTGATGTTCCCTGTATTGCAGGCCTGAGAATGTAAATACACTTTGCAATAAAAAGGCCCGGTAGAAAGCCTGTAGTTTCAGTACCTTAAGCAAATCGTTTCTCTTCCTTTGTTCCTGAGATTCACATTGCAGCCTCTCAGTTGAGTTCAGATTGCCGTTTAATTGACTTTCAAAAAGCATCATACTTTACTTGCAGACAGGAGGGATACAGAAGAGATGGAACCTGAGGGAGAGATGGAACCTGAGGGAGAATTGAGGCTGGAGAGCTCCCCTTTGTCGGGATCATTTGTGGATGAACAGCCATCAAGTGAACAAACACATGGGGCGTCTGAAGAATCTCCATCAGGAAGCTTTGAGAAGGTCACCTCGGCCTCCCAAAAGCGAGTAAGTAGAGTTAATGTATTTGGATACAAGTTGTGCCCTGTCCAGAAAAGTTGTCGCTTTTTGCAGCAAGAGAATTTTCACTTATTCCCTCTTCCTATTCTTCTCCTGCTCCTTAGCTTTTGCTGCATTTACTTGTTTACCTGTTGATACATAACTGCATTAAAAGCTAACATTTGTATTTTGCTCCCAAATAAGTTCTCTGAAAGCAGGGCTGTTTTCCAACAGGCAATAAAAACTGTGACTGTTGATGACTGGAATATGTTGGATGAAAATGACAATCCTCCATCCAGAAAAAAACAAAGGGAGAACTCATGCCTAAAGGAGGACAATAATAAACTATGCCCAATTCCTCAGCAGGTAGTTTTTCTAGTGTGTGGTGTAATCTTATTGTCCTGAGGTGTTGCCTGCTCGGATGCAAGTCTAATTATTCTGAGATTTGGGACTTTGATGTTCTGAATAGGAATGTATGTTTTTGAAATAAAATTGAAAGGTCGAAGTGATTCCCTCTAGGGGGATCTATTGATATAAAAAGTTGAAAAGAAGGACATTCTTGGTGATGGAAATACAAATTTGACGCCAATAAAATCTGAAGGATGTCCCTCCCTTTCCCAAGATCTAATCCAACATATAGAGGTACTCCTCGCTTTGCAACCGTTTGTTCAGCAACCATGCAAAATTATGATATTAAACAAAGGGATTTACAACTGGCGCTTGACGTTAATGGCCGTTAACAGTGCTGTTATGGTCACATGGTTGTTGTCTCGGCTCTTGGCAACCCATTTGCATTTACGATGGGTTGCCGGGCCCTCCATGATCATGTGATCACCATTTGCAGTCCCCCCCCCCCCAAGGTTCTTTAGAAAGTCAACAAGAAAGCAAACAGGAAAATTGCAGGCCGCTGCTGCAGGAGTCCCTTTGGCTCCTGGAGCCTGCCTGAAAAAGATCCATCAGGACCCATTTGGGGAATGATCTTTTCAGCCAACCTCTTCAAGAGCAGAAGGGCTGCCTGTCAGGTGACTTTGCCCCACCTCCAGGCAGCCCTCTCAAAAACATTGGCTGGAAAAGTCCATGACAAAAGCCAAGAGGGATTTTATCCTGGACCGCTTGTAGCATGGATGGGCCTTTTGAAGGTGGGCTTCAAGGGCCCCTGTGCTAAAATCCCCCTTAGCTTTTGCAACGTCTTGGAACTTTTCCAAGCAGCATCTTTGAGAATGATAGTCAAATGGATTTCCCCCTTCCATGGAACAGTGTCCCAAGCAGCTCTGCTATTCTTAAAGATACTGGCTGATAAAAACCTTCCACTCTTCAGAAAGATCAATATTTCTGAAGGGTAAAAAAGACTTCTTCCAGCCCATCACTCTTTAGAACAGGGGTGTCAAACTCACATCACGGTGTCACGTGATGTATCGGGACCTCTTCCCGCTTCGCTAAACAGGGTGTGGACCTGGCCAGCATGTGACACATCTGGCCTGGGGTGGGGTGGGGCTGGGAGTTTTTTTGGCAGCCCTGCTTTAGAAAGTTTGTGCTTGCTGGCTTTCCAGAGAAACGGAAAGTTCAGGATTCAAACTTCCTTTCTCTGGTCCAGCATGCCAATTTCCCTCCCCACTTTATGCTAGAGTTTTCAGCACACGGATGGAAGGGGAGCCGGTGCTTCAGAACCTGAGTTTTGTATCTCCGGCCCGGCATATGCCAGTTCTCTTTTGCAAGTGGAAAGGAGGGAAACGCCTGTGGTGGGCCTAGAAACGAAGCTCAGATCTTTGGGATCCCAGCTTTGTTTCTGTGGTCCAATGCAGGAACTCCATTCTGTGCACAGGCAGCTGTTTTAGCAGGCAGCTGTTTTTTTTCCACACAATTCATGACCTGTGATCTCACTTAGCGACTGCACCTATGAGGGACAGAACAGTCACTGATCTGTCAACAATCATGAGCCCTTGCTTGAATGATTGCAGTCACTGATGGCCATAATGGGCAGGTACTATTACCAATCATAAATTGAGGTCTACCTGTACTTTTCTTACAGATCACATTAAAATGAAAAGTTGTGAGTCTCCATGATATGCTGTTAATTGGGCTAGATGTTAAGTGTCTGTTTAAATAACATATTTTGGGTGTGTTGCTATAAAATCCATCTGCCTGAGCAGTTCAACTTGAACTCTTGTATTATTATCTGCCTGTTCTACTTAGAAAAATCCCAAATCACAGACTTTACAGTATGTTTAAAAAATATACATCACCTCTTTTAGTACTTATTTTTTTTCTTGGCCTTTCTATATCCAGTAAGGAGTGGTTTTCATGTGATGTATCATACTAAAATGCAAGTATGTTTTATTACGTGTGAAGCATGAATGCATTAACAGTTAAGTTTCTCTAACAGTTATTATACAAGCCATGGATAAAATAGTTATTCCTTTTCTTCCTTAAAGGGAAAGATATATGGTATTTTTTACCTTTCACAATTTATTCTTTAAATACACAGGTAGTCCTTGACTTACAATGACCTACAATAAATGAACAACACTCACTTAGTGACTGTTCAAATTTACATCACTGAAGGAAGTGATTTATTATTGTTTTTCACACTTATGATCATTACAGCATCCCCAGGGTCACAGGATTAAAATGCAGACATTTGGGAACTGACTCACATTTATGATGGTTGAAGTGTCCCCGGGTCATGTGATCCACCTTTTGAGATTTTCTGACAAGCAGTCAATGGGGAAGCCAGATTCACTTAACCATGTTACAAATTTAACTAGTGATTCCGTAGAAGTCAGTAGAGTTGGAAATAACATTTCAGACAAATGGTTATCCAATCCCTTCTTAAAAGCTTCCAGTGTTGGAGCATTTACAACTTCATTTAACAACGGTGGCAAGAAAGGCCACAAAACGGGGCAGAACTCACTTAGCAACTCTGGTTGTAAGGCAAGGATTACCTGTGTACTGTTCTTCAGTACTGAGAATTGCATGCCAGATGGATTCCATGAAACACTCCCAATTCATTATCAACTAGAAAACATTCTGGGGCTCTGCTTTTTCCATTTTTTGTAAAAGTTGCCGAGCAGTTTCTGTTGCGTGGAGTTAGAGGCTTTTAATGGGCAACATGCACTAACCCTTGTATAGGCTTAATAGATCTGTTTTGCTAGTCTATGTGAAATTGTTTTCCAGTCAAAATCTGTAATTTTGGATGTGTTGGTTCTCTCTTGCCTTTATATTTAAGCAGGTCACCTTTGCTTACAGTGAAATGAAAATGAATTCACTGTATTGGGTATGTTTGGTTGCTGGAGAGAGAATCCAAGCAGCAAGTATAAGAAAAAAACGGGGAACATTTAAGCGGATTTCTTTACCCAAAACAAAATAAATTGCAAAATTCTATTCCACAGTTTATATTGCTTTTTCTTAAAGCAGCATTGAGTGTATTCTTTGGTTGTTGTTTTTTTACAATACTTGGTATTGTTGAAAGATACTTTTTTTGCTTAAAATAAAAATGGCACACCACCAAAAATGATACAATTCCTTAGATTTTTTTACATATGGAGGAAAACCTGAAGAATTTTAAAGAAAATATGTCCAATGTTCAAATTAAGAAGGTATTATGTAATCTCTTTCCATGGAAGACCTGCTGTTTTCATGGGAGGAAATCCAAACTGGTTTAAAATATGAGTGAAAAGAATAATGAGAAAACAACAATCCAAGGAAAGATTTATTGTCTTGTGCTTTCACAGTAAGGTCAAAAGAAATCCGGTTGTAGTTTTTATAATTCTTTACAATACAATGAAGAAGGGATTGCTATTGGACTTACCTTGAGCATTTTAATGTAGAATAACGTCATTAAATTTCTTATTTTCCCATTTTAACTGAGATATAGCTTCCATGAAGGCTTTAGTATTTCAATGATTTCAAATTATTATAAAGAAAGCATCAATTTTGGAGACTTGCTGCTAGTTGAATTCAGAATATAAGCAATCAAATTAGAACTTTATTGCAGGTAGTCCTCAACTTACAATCGTTTTTTTAATGACTGAAGTTACAGTGCCTCTGAAAAAAGTGACTTATGACTGGTTTTCATAGTTATGACTGTTTCAGCATCCCCATATTCATGCTATCAAAAGGTGGATGCTTGGCAACTGAAATGTATTTAAGATACTTGCGCTGTCCTGGGGTCATGTGATCACTAGTTGTAAACTTCCCACTAGTTTCCAACAAGCAAAGTCCATTGACTTTGCTTAATGACTACATGGTTCACTTAATACATGTAGTGATTTGCTTAACAGCTGTGGCAAAAGTGGGGATTGCAGTGGCTAAGGTGCTGGGTTTGTCGATCGGATGGTTGGCAGTTTGAGACCCAAGTACTGCATGAGGGGGTGAGCTCCTGTTCTTGCCCCAGCTCTTGCCAAGCTAGTAGTTTGAAAGCATGCAAATGCAAGTAGATAAATAGGTACCACTTCAGTGGGAAGGTAACAGCATTCTATGCAACTCAGCATACATTCATGCTGGCCACACGACCATGGAAGCATCTTTGGACAATGCTGGCTCCCTTGACTAGGAAACAGGGATGAACACTGCCCTCTAGAGTTGGACATGGCTGGGCAGGGGAAACCTTTACCTTTATGGCAAAAGAAGTTGTAAAGCCAGGCAAAATTCAGCTAAACAAGTGTCTCACTTAGCAATGGAAATTTTGGGCTCAGTTGTGGTCATAAGTTGAGGGCTACCTATAACTGGTTTTCTTTGTGCAGTCTTTTTAATCAATCTTTTCTTTTTCTCTGCTTCTTATTTCTTTCATTTTTCTTCCCAGTTCTTAGTTTTTCCTACTCTTTTTTGCATGGCTTGCTTGGGATAGAATGCAGCTAAATGTTGTTTGTGACAAACTACTGTATAGGCAAACTAGCAAAGTTTGCAGTCATTTGAAGTATCACAGGAAGTGAGACAAGATTTGATACTCCAGTCCCTCTTTATTTTGATTTCAAAAGTCCAGCGTAAAAATACAGCTAATATATGATGAAGTGCTGAAAATCTGGAGGTTTCTATTATATTTAATAAGAAAAGAATATCTTTAGTTATTTGAATTATTTATAATGCACTAAAATCAGATTTTCTGTTCTAAGTACCCTGTTTTTCTTTCCACCTTGTAGAAGAACAGGAAAAGGAACAAGAAGAAGACTTCTCTAGATACACAAAGTTCCTTCTCAAGCTTAAGTTCAGCTCCATCCAGTCTTGATTGTTCACTTACCCCAGATATGGCTGATGCGAGAATCCCAGTAGAAGAAAGTCAACACTCAGAAGCTAAGTCGATTGACTTAATGTCATTCACCGATGACAGTAGCGACCACATTAGAAATGCCTCCTTCCATGCAGATCAGGGCCAAGAATTTGTGAGCAGAGCAGAAATCCAGAATCAGTCAGAGCAAAATAAGAAAAATGATGCAGAAAGTCAGCCTGCTGTTACTGCTATAACGGGGCAGAAGATGGAGGAGGATAGTTCCAGAAAGGTTGATATAGTTGCTGAACAGATAGATCCTAGCAAGAAACAGTGTGCTATCAGTTCTGTTGGGCCTGGACAATTTTCACAGAATACATCCAATATATCAGATGGAACTGTTATGCAACCTGTTTCTAAGGGAGACACGGATAGCAGATCTTCAGATCTCAATGTTAATGTTACATCTACTGAGGAAAAAGGATCAGGATCAAGCATTGAACATCAAAACTGTGGAATGAAGAGATCTTTGCCTGAATCTGAAATGAAAAATAGCAATTCAACAGAAGTTACAGAAGAGGCCAAACAACAGAGCAGTTCTGATTCAAAAGTAAATTCCTCAATTTATTTGTGGTAGTATATATCTAGGTCCCTTTTTTGTTATTGTAGTAATATTTGGGAATGACCGTGGAAGAGCCATGGCTAGGGGAATGGTTGGATAAGAGGCAGATGAGCCTGCAGAAGGAATCTGGGTATGTGGCAAATGTCTCCGAAGGGACCCACCCTAGTTTCTTAGGTTGAAAAGGTAGCAGGGGAGAGAAATTTACTTTTAGGCTTGTAATATTATTAGAGTAAGCTTACAGTAAAGTGGAATTCATTCAACTGGGAGTGCTTCCTGTCTGGATAGTTGGCCACCTTAAATTGTCTTTAGGAGGAAACCCTGAGCATAAACTAAATATAAATATAAAGCGCATAGGTTATCTTTTTGTGAAGCGATAAATGTATCTTGTCCCATAATTAAATTTTTGCTGTATCTCTAGGATTTGAAGCATTAGAATAGAATAGAATAACAGTTGGAAGGGACCTTGGAGGTCTTCTAGTCCAACCCCCTGCCTAGGCAGGAAACCTTACACCACTTCAGAAAAAATTGTACATCCTTAGAGATAATTAGTTTTACAGGCCACCATATGAGAGGTGTGACAACTTGATGTCCACAGGTGAGATTATCCATGACACTCCCACAGAGCATCTGGATAAAAAATTTACTAGACTGCCAATTTTTATGAAGTATTTTTAATAGTAATTTTGACACTTCAGCTATGAAGGATCCTTGCAGACCACCAGCATTTCCTAGGCTATTGTTTGGGAACCCTTGTTGTAGGGAATTCCATAGTTCTACAATAAAGGAAAGGAATGTAATATCTGAATACTTAACAGTTCTAAATTTCCAAGTTTATTGAAATAAATTGCTTTTGATTTTAAATGCATAGAGTATTTTATCTACACCCACAGTCTTAGCCTGCTAAATAGCACGTTGGAGAGTTATGTAGGCTGCTCCAGCAATTTTATCAGCAGCAGCTTGTGCTAGAGATTGAACTTACAATCTTGTATAAAATATCATGAACCTTATTAACCTCCTAGGAATGATTCTCCTGAATATTTCTTGTTTTCGCACCAAAAGTTATAAGAACAGAATTGTGAACTTGGGAAGACTTGACTATTGTTTAGATTTCTACCTGGCTTATCTAAAGGCTGTCCAAAAGAAGAGAAAAAAGGGAAAAGCCACTTTATGTTAATATGATGGGTGGCAATTCCTCGCATATTCCTGCAATTTATCTTACGTTACATGGTTTTTTTACCCTAGACTTCTCAATCTTGAAAACAGGCAGTTGTTTATTGATTAGAATGAATAGAATAGAATTCTTTATTGGCCAAGTGTGATTTGACACACAAGGAATTTGTCTTTGGTGCATATGCTCTCAGTGTACATAAAGAAAAAATAAAATACATTCATCAAGAATCATAAGATACAACACTTAGTGATAGTCATAGGCTACTAATAAGCAATCAAATCATACTAGGAAGCAAAACAATATAAATTGTAAAGATTAATACATTTACCACATGGTTATAGTCATAAGTGTGAACAGATAGGTACTAGGAAGGATTGTTAGATATCTACCCTGAGAAAGCCCAAACTTCAGTGTTGTGTGGTGAGAAATAGGAGCTATCAGTGACCGAGAATTAAACCTATCAGTCTCTAGAAAGAGAATAATGAAAAATGTCTACTAGAACTTCACATGCTGCAAATTGTTAACTTCATTTTTTCTATTCGTTTAAATAGAACAAAGTCATAGACAAACATGTAGTGGTATACTGCATGTTAGATCTGGGAGGATGGTTCAAGAACGGAGGCAAGACTCAGATAGCAACAACAGCTCTTTATTAGTGACTTCAGATCTGAGCGAACTATCCCAGCTGCAGCAGCCCCTTATACAGGGCTGGCTGCGGCTAGGCAGCCAATGAAGGCGATTTGAGTTTGCCGCTCTTGGCAGGGCCAATCGCGGCAGCCCATTTACTGGCCAATCGCATCAGTGTATGGCGACCAATCATGATCAGCTATTTGCGGGCCAATCAGAGTTGCAGGCTTTTGAGCCTGCTAGTCTGGAACACTGCATGTTTCAAAATGTTCTTTGTTGCATAAGTTATATTTAATAATCTCTTGACAGGGAAATTTTTGTGTAAAGCTAGATCACCTTTCTGGCAACCAGGTAGTAAACATCATTAAAAATGAGCAATTCCTTTTTTTAAAAAAAATCCTAAGTAATTGTGGCAAAGCAGATTAGCTAAAACCCTTCTAAACTACTCATGGATTTATTTGCTTTCTACTTCTTGCTTTTTGTATATCTGATATGCCTTTATTACAGAAAGCAAAGCTAAATGTGACCAAGCAGGAGAATATCTCTGAAAAGGGACAAAAAATATGCGCTCCAGTGGAAGAGTCTGGGCAGGAAAGGAGAGATTCTGCTGATGATGGAAATCAAAAGCCACAGACAAGAAACAAGAAAGCCAGGGCAGAAGAAAAAAACCATGAAGTCCCTGCTGTCAAACAAAAGTATGTTCTGATTATTTGCCCCTGACATACTGTCCATGCAGACATATATAAGTTGTCATTTAATATAATGGTCTAATAATAGCTGTAACACAATTCCACAAAAGCCCATTTTCTTTTTCATCCTTATCCAAATGAATTGGAAGTTTCAGATTCAGTAAAACTATAACGTCATAATCCTTCCTTCATAGTCTTTTCTAATATGCAACAGTGGAATCTATATAGCTTCTAGCAGGCTTGATCAAAAGTATCTTCCTATTTGAAAGTAATTCCAGTATGCTTAATATTTTGATTGCTTAATTTTTATTTTTTTATTTTGTGTGTATTGTGTAAATTTATTGTGCTTTTGATTATTCTTTCTCCCCTCCCATTATAAAGATATCATGAATGTTGTTAAACATCCGTGTCTATCTTTTTTTCTGATTTGAGCTCTTACTAGACACAGGTACACTCTTGACAGTATAGGTGAGGCTATTCTGGGGCAATTATCCCAAGGTGAAATATTGGTCTTTCTTAACCTGGTGTCTTCCAGAGGAGTTGGACTTCCAACCATGCTGGTCTGGGGTGGTATCAGTTCAACACCTGGAAGACATAAAATAATTCCAGTAGGTACAAGGGATCATTTGATTATGCTTTCATTTGGAAACCCTATTTGGGATAGCTTGCAAATGAAGTCCCATTTTCTTTTCATGGACATTCTGCTTCCAAATGCTTTGTTTTATTTGAAATCAGAAGCTGAATCAAACAGGGAATACGGCAGTACTATCTGATTTTTGAAGAAAGATGCTTTTATGCTGATAATTGAAATTTTAAAGTGCCGTCAATTGTATTTGGCTTCAGACAGAATATTTTCTCCTGGTGATGGATGACCTGCACAAGTGTACTTACTGCTGGCAGTAGCCTCCAACGTTTTCCTTTTTCCATTAAAAAGCTTTCTGTGGAAATAATAGATTCCTCTCTCCACAACAACTGAGAGCGAAAGATCCACATGCAGCCCTGATTTGCACATCAGTTGTTCTCTTTCAGTGATGTACATGAGACTAAAATATCCTTTGAATCAAGACAGCTTCTAGTGATCTTAGCAAAAAATACAAGAGTGACTCGCTGCTTCCATTTTTTGTGTCAATTTTTTTGTATAACTTACAGTCCTGGGCAGGAGTGGGATATGACAGGGTTAAGTACCGGTTCGGGATTTACGAGCTTCCCTGCAGGCCTGTAAATCGTCATCAGCAACTGCCTGCAGAGAAGCAGCCTTTGAAACAGCCTTCTTTTCCTGCTTTTTTAACTGCATCTGTGCCTCATTGGGCAGCTGAAGTTGAAAAATCAGGAAATAAAGATAGGGTAAGAGCCCGGATGGGCAAAAACCTCAGCAGACATAGAACCGGTTCTGTGTCTGCTGCTCTTCAGAGCTACCGGTTCTACAGAGATGAACAGAACCGGTACAAACCTACCCCTGGTCCTGGGATTGCCTCGTAGTGTCCCATTCAAATTCTAAGTAGGACTAAGGCTACTTCAGGACAAGATACAATGATCACTGATTTCTTTTTAAAATGTCAGAAATGTTTATTTGTACATTTTGAGTTGTTTATTAATCTTTAACAGATGCAAATAAGTGAGATGAGCAAATTTTCATTTTTCATTTCATGCATAATAATTCTGCACACTAATAGTTGTCCTATAATTATGCACACATAGTCTCCCAAGAAAGACAAAACCTCATTTTTTCTTTCTTAAATATTCAGGTTTGAGATACATTAGCTGTTTGGATTGACTGAGAGCACTGTAGTTGTTCAATAAGAAAATTAATCCTCCAAAATACAACTTGCCTAATAATTGTGCTCATAGTTTATTAAAAGCTAGGTGCATGCTAAAGATTATTTTATGAACATCAGTGTTGGAGAGCTCACAATGGCTATCACTGTCAAGCTACTGCTTCTTTAATTTGTATTTAGCTAGTGTGTTTATTTTACTATATTTTCAGTAGCAGTTCTGAAAATTTGTGTACCCTTTGAAAAGGTGTTCCATTTGGGGTATATATGTGTAATTTAAATCGATGTTTTATGGAAGTTTTATGTATCATAATTAAGTATTAATATGGAAGTCATCTGTTGTCTTATTCTGTCTTGCAGTCGGACACGTATGGAGAATATTACGGTTTATTTCCATGCTATTCTGTCTAAGGACTTCAAGGTAGATTTTGACAAGCATAAAGTGATCATTCTGGCAGGGGGAATTTCTGATTATGCTGACTGGAAAGACACTGTATGTGAGCTGACCTATTCCCAGTAAGTATATGTTGACATGATATAAGCATATTCTCAGATCTGAGTTAAAAGACTTTTATTAACATCTGAGTTACTGTATGTGCTAGCCGTTTAGTTCTTTCTGAATGTGTGCATGCTTATGTCTGCATTTCAGTAAAGTTACTTTGGGACAAGTGCTTATAAATATATTACAGGGGAAAGGTAATTAGAGAAAATCTATAAACATGTGTTTTTATTGGCAATTATTCATGAATGGTGGGAGTGAAAGGGAGGGTAAAGGCACTTTATACAAGCCTGTGAGATTGCAAGTATTTTAGAGAAACAAATGCTATATTGTGTGATTTATACTCGTATCATTAGCACTCCATCCATACAAGAGGAAACTGTCACTACTAACTATAGGTAAGTGTTAGGAATTGATAGTCACCTAACAGTTGGGTTGGAAATATATAAACCAGGATAGACATTTAATACTGTCTCTTTAAAGGAATGCTAAAATTGTAATTGGGTGTGGTTCCTCAAACAGCCATAAGATGGAGCCAGAAAGCTGGGTTGTTCTGTTGTTGCTGTGAGTTGCTTGTTGCTAGATGTTCTGATGTTTGCTGGTTTTGGTTCCTGGATTTTTCCTATTGACGGTTGCTGATTGTTGTTCTTCTTGGATGGATGTGAGTCTGATGACTGAACTGTTTATGATACTGGACTTTGTTATTTGGATTATCCCTAGACTGAAAACTGATTGCTATAACCGTGAATGACTTGAACTGTTTGTTGGACTTTGCTTAACCGTTTCCAGGAAGTAAAACCTACATTTTACTATACAGTGTGGCTGTACGCTGGTTGTGTGTTATTCAACATCACTCTCACTATGTCTCCCTGTGTGCACTTATTCTCTTAATGGGGAATTACCTCAACACTGGTTATGAGACCAGGTCATATAACTGAGAGTTAGTGTGAATACACAGTACTGTATGCAGATAGCTGTTTACTGTTTAATTGTGGGTTACTGTCCTGATAAAAGATGGCACAAGACCCGTCAACAAGTCTATCAGTGATAACCCGGTTGGAGGGAACAAACTATGTTTCCTGGTCTATGAAGTGCAGTCTACTTCTGTATAGAGAAGGGTTATGGAATACAGTTCAAGATCCACCAGATGTAAATAATAATGAGGATGATGCCAAGAAGTTAGCTAACTTTAAACGGAACAACAAACAAGCTCTTTGTTTAATTGGACTAACACTGAGTGACCAGCAGCTAGTCCATATTTGTGGAGAAGAGTCTGCTGCTAAGCGTTGGGAGAATTTGAAGAGGATTTATGTTCGTGACAGTGTAGGTGCACACATGTATCTTACACGTAAACTGTTTAGAGCACGTCTTCTGAAAGGTGGAGGTATGTTAGCTCATTTGAACTTCATGAAAAGAACTTTTCAAGAGCTACATGAACAGGAACTGATATTTTCATAACTGCATCAGGTTTACATCATTCTTTCCTCATTGGATGAAAGTTATGATGATTACGTATCTTCACTGGAAGTTCTGCCCAGAGATAAACTGACATTGACTGAAATAACTGGAAGGTTGTTAGAAGAGGCAAGAAGACGGCTGGATAGGAATCAACTGAGGAAGGAACAACCACAAGAAGAGGATTTGTCTTCAACTGCCTATACTGTTAGGAAATGTTTTTCTTGTGGGGCTAAGGGACATATAGCTAGATTCTGTAAGAAGGGAAAACGACAGAATACTGGTAATCACCAGAAGGCTAAGAAGAATGTTAATTTAGCTATGTCTAGCAATTCAACTGTAAACCATGATTTGTGGGTAGTTGATAGTGGATAGTGGAGCATCACATTTCTGTACTAGAAATATTGAGAGGTTTGTAATGATGTCTACGAGTAAGCAACATGTATCATTGGCAAATGGATGGAAGATAAAAGCATCTGGTGAAGGTACTGCATATTGTTCATGTATAAATGAGCATTTATCTGTGTTATATGTACCTAAACTGAAATATAGTTTGTTATCAGTAAGGGCTTTGGTTATGTAGTAACCTTTAGGGGAGATGAGTGCATAATGTGCATAACTACCCTCTGCATAAGAGAAAGAGGGTAAAAGTGTTACTGCTACTTTGAGAATGATTTATATGTGATAACATGATGACCAGTTGCAGATGGCTAACTTGTTTTATAACATCGTTAAGCCACACGACGAATGTATACATTTACTGCATAGACATCTGGGGCGCATTAATTTCAAAAGTCTCAAACAAACTGTTGAATTGTCAGAGGGAGTAAAATTAAAAAACCGTAGCAAGTATTTAAACTGTAATGCCTGTAATCAGGAGAAAAGCAAGGTTACTCCAGCAAACAGACTGAATGGGTTGAAGTCCAAAAAACCTTTAGAGGTTGTGTTTGCTGACATAATTGGTCCTAAAAACCCAGTTTGGGAGGTGCTTGCTATGTTTTGAGTGTAATGGACCATTACTCATGATACAGTTTCTGCTATCTCATGAAAAACAAAACAGAAACATTCCAATATTTCTTTAATTGGCTGAGGTTTGCAGAGAGAAAAATGAAACATAGAGTAATGACTAGTTACTGATAACGGGACTGAGTTTATGAACAATAGATTCCGAACTATGTTAAAATTGGCTGGTGTCGAACATAAGCGTTCTGCACCTTACAGACCACAACATAACTCGTTTGTAGAAAAAAGAGGGCAAACGTTACAAACCATGGCTCACACTATGTTATCTGATTCAGGTTTGCCTGAAACACTGGGGTGAGGCCATAATGTGTAGCAACCATGCTTTAAACAATGTGGTGAATACAGCAACTGGTGAATTGCCATTCACTCGTTGGCATGGCAGAAAGCCAAATTTAAGTTATTTACACACATTTGGAGCTCCAGCATAGGTGCATATTCCCTCACAACTAAGACTGAAAGGGCAACATAGAGCTGGGAAATTATTTTTCGTAGGTTACGAGGCCAACCATAGATCGTTTAGATTTTGGGATCAAGGCACAGCTAATATTTACTGCAGTGCTAGTGCTAAATTTCTTGACCATGTTGGGTGGCATAAACTGAAACAGGAATCTAACAATGATGTTATTATTGACACCTGTTGGGTATATGGATACACCAACTAGGTTTGGGTTGAATAAATATA